TTAAAAACACAGTTGCAGACACACTTCTGTACATACACACTCTACACAAACACACATACATAGAAATACATACACACATAGACATGCATTCAGGCATTTGCACACATAACTACATAGACACTCACTTTGTATGTGTGTGTACATACAACATTTTTATCATGTTTAAATTGTCAGGATATTTTTTTTATTATAAAACAAGATTAAAAAAGTGAATACAATGTCATATAAAATAATTTCAATATAATAAATCTCAAGCAGCAACCTAATAAAGTATCTAGACTTCAATAACACTGGAAAATAAATATAGATGTATGAGGTAATATATATGAGTTTAAAATGAACAAAGACTGAATGTAGAGTGTTCTGTGCCTTTAAAAATCACACGTGTGAATATATGCATATACTAAACTCACAAACAAATATTTAGCATAGCCCGTCCCCACCGTCTACTTACCCGGTCGCCAGCGATCCCGGTGTGGGGACTATCCTGGCATCCCAGGGAGTCCCTGTCGTGGAACAGACCTCACCACGTGTTCTTGGAGGGGGCTGCTTGCCCGCCTCCTACCTTCTGACTATGGCCCTGGGATATATGGCATTTGAAAACACCATTTGTGCCCTGTGACAAAACTGGAGATTGTGCACAAATATGACTATTGTCCATATTTTTTATGATTCCCTTCGTTTGTTGCACTGTTCCCCATGTGTTTCATCTGTTGGTCCGGCTGGATAGACTACCAGACAAACTGTGGAGTTACTGGGTGGCCACCATTTCATGTATCAGAGGCACATGGTGAGAACAATGGATGAAGCAATGGTGAGAACAATGGATGGCGGCCATTTTAACTCACAGACACTGTTTGGACTTTTCTACACGGTGCCATCTCGCTGGTATTTGGTGCACAAAGACATCGTGCAGTAGTTTTAAACTATACAACAGGGGACACATTATACAGTAATTATTTTTCATATAGCCTTTATATGTTCTGTGGAATCTGCATTAAACTGTATCTTCCAAACTACTGAACGGATCTGGGTGAATTTTGGATATATGGTTCACCCAGATCCCCCGGTTCCGAGGATATACTTTTATTTGGTTATTGCATGTTTTGTGGTCCCTGTGATATGTTTTATAATACTGTATTTCTCTGCCTGTGATAATTATATTAACTATTGTGTTCAGTAATCATATCACAGGCAGAGGGGAGGATTTTGTGTGGGAGTGTCTGTGTGTATTGTACGGATTGATTGGTTGTATTTCAAAACCCTGTGGGCAGTACTATGTTTGTGGATTGTGAATAAAAGAGGCTGTATGTGCCAGTAAGTCAGTTCTGCTTGACCTCAAAACGAAGTGTTGTCTCGTTGTTGGGGGAATTGGATTGTATGCTGATTGCCAGGAATGTAAGCTGATTGTATGCTTTTCCTGTTCAGCTGCTTACAGCATTCATATGCTTGAGAGCATTCGTATGCTTCTCCGGTTCGGTGGTTGTGGTGTCTGCTGCAATGCTTGGAGTCCTCAGGAAGCGCTAGGAGCATCCTTCAATGGAGGTACCCAGTCGGGGTGCCAAGTACAGTCCCCCTCCTTCCTTTCTGGCCCTCCTTGGCCATGTGATCACGAGGTCCATGTCAGTGGATCGCATAGCCGTCCATGTCAGTGCCAGCAGGAGGAGAGCCTGTAAAAAAAAAGAAAAAGAAAAGAAACATTATATATATATGATCCAAGTATATAAATAAACATATACATACATACACATTTATACACATACATAGTCTAAGTGTATTTTAACATGAATATATATATATATATATTTAATTATATATATATTAATATCAAAGTACACGTAGAATGATATTGATTAAACATATATATAATTATATATAAAATAAATATATATGTATATATGTTAAAAAATAAAATTAAAAAATAATAGAATAAATAAATATATATATATATATGTGTGTAATTTCGTCTTAACTGTATTTTAAAATTAATATATATTTATATCAAAATACACATAGAACGAAATAATATATATATACACATAAGCATATATCACTATATATATATATACCTATACATAAATAAAATAATTAAAAAATTTTTTAGATATATATATATACACACACACACACACACACACACACACACACACACACACACACACACACACACATATATATACACACACACAGACACACACACGCACGTATATATATAATAATTCTACGTGTATATTTATGTAATAATTTTACATAATTAGGTCATTTTATTAATTACAATTTGTGGGACCTGCCTGACAACTCAGGCCGAAGGTCCAGGGAATTTAATTTGCTAGCACTATATTTAATCCTGTAACTTTCCAAGACACCATAAAACCTGTACACGGGGGATACTGTTTTACTCGGAAGACTTCACTGAACACAAAAATTCAAGTAAAATGTATTACAACAATGATATCGTCAGTGAAAGTGAAATTTTTTGCATTTTTCACACACAATCTGGACATACCCCATTTGCAATACCTTGGTTTGTCTACTTTTTTAAATGGTATGCCATCATGGGGGTAATTCTCAATCCTGGGCTACCATACGGTCTCAAAGGCAACATAACCAATCTGGCGAATTTCAATGTAAAAAAAAACCTGATAAATGTAACATGCTATATTTGACCCTGTAACTTCCCAAAACACCATAAAACTTGTACAAAGGGGGTAACGTTTTACACGTGAGACATCGCTGAACACAAATATGTGTGTTCTATTGCAGTAAAAGCAAACAGTATTATGACATTCACAGTTGGAATGTCACGTAGAACTAAAGTTGTTTTAAAAATTATTATTTTCTCCCATGTTTTTATATGTTATTCCTATTAAATTATGTTTCATACATAAATCTTTTATGTTAAATGAAAGCCCTGTTTCCCCTGAATAAAATGATACATAAAAGGCAAATTACACCTGAACAGAATGGCGAGTGTGTGCATGGGGGAGGTGTAAAACCACCCTTGTACTAACATGTAGGTCATAGTGACCCCCATATGATTTAATTGAATTTATTTTTTGTTATTATAGGGACACTATAGCACCCAGACCATGTCAGCTCATAGAAGTGGTCTTGATGCAGTGCCTCTGTCAGTTCAACCCTGCAATTGTAATTATTGGAGGTATTGATAAACTGCAATAATTACATTGCAGTGTTAACACCACCTCTAGTGGCTGTTAACCAGACAGCTACTAGAAAAGCTTCCAGGTCGTTGGGTGCCTTTTAGTCGCATGATGCTGGACGTCTTCATGCTCCGCACCAGCTAAAACCCCATAGAAAAGCATTGATAGGGTACTATAGTACTACACAACTTTGTATTCGTAGCACTATAGTTTCCCTTTAAGAAGGCTTCTTTAAAAAGCCAATAAATGTTCTTCTGTAGCACATTTACAGAACAATATTTCTTGAGCAATCAACTTGTTTATTGGGCTCAGTTGCTAGTATTTCAGCTGGCATTAAATCTAGCCAAAACTCAATAAAAATATTGGCCAAAACAAGTCGATAATTTTTGACTGGGTTTTGCCGATGGAATAGAGTCAAGCCATGATGTCCATTTCATTATAACAATTCCTGCTTTTGCCAGCTAATAATTTCTATAGTCTCCTACGGCAAAAATAAAAACCTGTTAAAGACTCCCACCCCAAAGAAAATAACAACATTTTCAGATCTTGAGGTCTAATAAAATGCATGTATAGCAACCAAACTAGATATCAGTCACCAAGGGTTATTCTTTGCAGAATAGATATATTATAGGCATGCAGAGCCTTCCAGTAAATTATTATAATTATATAATTGAGGCAGAAATGGAACAGGCAGAAATTAAGGCAATTTAGTTATTTAGTTGAATGCTGATCAATCACTTTTCTGGATTTCCTTTTTGAGCAAAGGCATTAATGTCTTAATACCATTCTGAGACACAGAAAGCTTTTTAGGCTTTTTGCCACATTTTTTGTCGTTATTTTGACCAGTTTCCTTACATTTGTTTTGTGTTTAAATTTGTAACACAGTCATGCAAAATACTGACTATTGCCAAACACGCGTGTTTGTGACTTGTACTCAAATTAAAAGTTTTTGTTTTTGTGTGTTATTCCATTTTAAAAATGTTTATGTGAATAAAAATATATACTGATATACCGGATAACTAGCCAATATGAAAATGTGTTAGACTGAGCCAAGATTTGCGAATAGCATTGCGTGTGTGTTTGTGTGTGTAAAACTAGTTTTTTCCACTGTGGTTATTTTCTTTCCTGTAGCAGTCTAATCTGCATGTCATATGATAGGAAAATTATGCCATACCTCAACCATCAATATTTGGAGTGAATAATTATAAAAAAATAAGTTTACCTGTATTTATTTAAAAAATCAAGCATTCTACAATTTTTGGTGTTCTAATAACTTGTGCTTTGCAGAGCATAGAGTAATAATTGATTTTTTACACTTTTGAGTGAGTTGCAAGTCATTATTTCAAAATATGCTTACATTTTGGGGCACTAACATAGTAGTATATGATTTCTGCTTTTTTAAATCAAATTCATAAAAAGAAAAACATAGTAAAATAATAATAACATCATCCTTGCATGTAAATGTTTTATGATAACACCTTTGGCTATTTAAGAAATACAAAGCACTGATATGTTTCACATCTCTTTTATTTCAGCCTAATATTCGGTTGCTTTTTAAGAAGTTGCTGGTAGTGGGGTCTCATTCCTCAAATGTTTATAAAGTTAGAATATTTGTATTTTACTGAACCATGCAATAATGTGATAACTTCTGGTCTTCTCATTAGGTTGAAGCAATAATTTAATGATGCAAAATAAATTTAATTTGTTAACTAGTTATCACCAGCATTAATTAACATATTTTAGAATATTAAAACAGTTGCATTAATTATGTATAGAGATGTCGCGAACCGTCCGCGAACTTCTCGCGAACGGTTCGCCACGAACCGTTCGCGGCGAACTCCGGTCAGCTGACACATCCCGGCCAATCTCCAGCAGACCCTCCCTCCCAGACCCCTCCATGGATGCTGTCCAGGAAGTAGGAGGGTCTGGGAGGGAGGGTCTGCTGGAGATTGGCCGGGATGTGTCAGCTGACCGGAGTTCGCCGTGAACGGTTCGTGGCGAACCGTGGCGAGCCGTTCGCGAAAAGTTCGCGGACGGTTCGCGACATCTCTAATTATGTACTAATACTTGATGAAGGAATGTTTGAATGTTATCTGAATTTTTATCAGATTATAACCATCATCAATGTATCTGATGGATTTCTTGATAATTAAATGTCTGTTAGTGCTCATGTGGACAGGTATACACAACAGAAAATTCATTAGAAACTGCTGTTTTATGCTACAAAAATTTAAAATATTTAATCAATATACAAGCCATTTCGGCGGGCGGAATGACGTAGGATGCAGGTGGGAGGAGCGTCCAAGGTTTTGGCAGGACATCCTGACTCAGCGTCGTGGGTAAAACGCTGAGAAAATAGCGGAGAAGACAAGAGGAGTCTAGACGACCGTGATAATGGGGAAGCCATGACGGTGGTGAGAGCAGGTTCTGGGCTGAGAGAAATCTGATGAGAGTGTAGTCAGTGCACTACAAGCAGTGTAATAACATAATTTAGGCTAAGCACGGAGTCGATATCAGAGAGCTGAAGAGGGAAGTTTGAGAGTACAAGTGAAGAGTGTGGTTGATGGAGGTAGGAGGGTTGCAATATTGCAGAAACCTTTTCATATTTTTAATCTCTTTTTACTCGTGATATTAATGAAAGTCAGTGAGAGACTCTGGTGGAAGAAAAATGACATTGAATGCCGGGCAGTTATAATACTGAATTAAATATTAAATATTGACTACTGTATATAAAACAAACAGAATAATTTAAGGGAATTATAGGGGTACACTTCAGGAGATATAGTGCGCTGGGAAAGGAAAAGGGAAAGAAGGAGAAAAAGAGAAAAAAAAAGAAAAAAAAGGAAAACGAGAAGGACATATTCACTAAGTGGTTATTTTAACATATAATCCTGGTTTTAATTCACTCTGATAATACAAGCTATGAACTGCTGTGTGCACATAACAATATGGCAACTAAATAATCTGATTGTGGATTCAAAAAGAAAGAAGCAGATTCTAAAAATTTGAAAAAGATTTCTACAATTTTCTCCCCCCAGGGAATTAAAATAACAGATATAACAATAGATACAAACAATATTTCAACTGGAGCAGTGGAGAGTGACCTGGACATATCGGATAGACTCTCATTTGGCTCTACTAAACCAAGCTCACAGAAAGAGCTTGTACAGTCAGAACCCTGCTCAATAACCCTGGAATATTTGCAAGAATGTATGACCATGCAACTTAGTTTGTTTAACCCCTTAAGGACCAAACTTCAGGAATAAAAGGGAATCATGACATGTCACACATGTCATGTGTCCTTAAGGGGTTAAAGAGGAATTAAACTGTTCTCATCTATGAAGGACGATATTTCTGCACTAGGTGACTGAATTAAAAGAAATAAGCAAAAGAATGATGCAATAATGTTCGAACTAAAAAAGTCCAAGATGAATGTGTTTCATTAAAGAAAAAAGTACAAGAACTGGAAGAAAAATCGACTGATATGGAGGACAGAATGCAAAGGAAGAATTTAAGGATTCGAGGAGTGAATGAAAATATAGAACCTCATAAAATAACAGAATTTCTACTAGATCTCTTTAAAGATATGGGTGTTTAAGAAGCAGCAAAGAAAGAGATAATTGAACGGGCACATAAAACAATAAAGCCTAAGGGCATTTCAGAGGTTGCCCCAAGAGATATAATTATCCGGTTCTCATCATATTATATGCGTCAGAAGATTTTTAATGCCTCAAGAAATTACAAACCAAAAGAAGAAAAATTAAAAAAATTAGCCTTCTTTCAAAATTTATCTAATAATACAAGAAGGAAAAGATTTGCATTTTTTTTCCTCATTCCGTTTTTCTCTTAGGAATACTAAAGTTAAATAAGGATTATAATTTTGTGAATGGGGGAGGGGGGAAAGGTGAGTAAAAGAAGAGTTATAAAGTTACAATGTAATGGTTAAAGCACATAGCACTTAAAGTATAGAATGAAAATTTAAGGTGGATGGGGGAAGCAGTATACACTAATTTTTAAAGTGAGATGTACGAAATATTTAAAATTAACACATAACTATACACAATCACATAATACACAGTTATATGCTTTCACGCTTGACACAGGATGTTAATATGGTGTATATAAGGTAAGAAGAAAAGAAGTGATTATCTTAATGGCACATAAAGTCACAAATTGGAGATAAAAGGAAGGAAAGGGGAAAGAAAGGGAAGGGAGAAAGGGAAGGGACAAAGGGAAGAGAAAAAGGGGTAAGCCTTAATGATCATTTGTAGATGAGTAGTACTAGGAGATAATATTCTTTAGAATTTAAAGAACACATTTTTTAAGATACCAAATTTTTGTTTTTTGAATAAAGGGAAATGGAGAAATGGGAAGAGAGAAGGAAATAATGAATATAACAGTGAGATATAATCATTTTATTTTTTTTTATTTTTTTTTTTTTTAGTCTCCTTCTCCGGTTAAAGCCCCTTTTGAATAATATGTTTTGATTAATCTTTTGGTCTCCTTTTCCTGCCAAAGCACTATGGAATTATGTACTCAAAATAATTCTAATATTCTAACTTTGGATTCCTAAACTTCTAATACTAATTTCTATAAATGCTGATAAACACGAATGATAGGGATGATGCTTTATCTACTAAATATAATAGTTCTTTTTTATAGGAAACATGGGAATGCTGTAGTGAGATTTATAATAAGCTTAATATAAATGCTCATTTGGGAAACTAAGAAGATTTTTATTTGGCCTCAGTCTTCTCTTTCTCCATTATTATAAATATAGAAATGTTGTGACGCCCCATCTCAGTACCTCATTGCTAATGGGGATATTTATGTATGGCATGTGGGAGGTTGCTATCCCCCTACATCCCATATGTGATTTGTGTCATGTCCTAGTGGCCATTTTTTATGCACCTAATGTGTCTATGTATATGTTTAACGTTTATATTGTCACTGTGAGCGTACATGATGAGTGGAGCAATAGAAAAATAGAAAGGGGTTTGTTGGATGGAGGGGTTTGTTAAGATAAGGACACTGAATGTGCATTCCCCTCAAAAACAAGCTATGTTTAATGAATACCTATATAGGGAGTATGTGGACATCTGTTGTATTCAAGAAAGTCACATGAAGGGCAATAATACACTCAGACTCAATAATAAATAATACACTGTTATAGAATATTCATCCCTAAGTAGGGAGAAAAAACGCTGTGTAGCCATTCTTTCTTCAAATAATATAAATTTAGAGATTATGCATAAACTGAGTTATGAGATTGGTAGATTCTCCTTTGTCATTTGCAAGATTGACGACAGAATATATTCTATATTAAATATATATGCTCCAAATACAAAGCAAGTGCATTTTTTTGCATTTGATTTCAATTGCAGATTATAATATGGATAAATATAACCTAAGCAACACTGGGAAAAGTAATAGTCAGGTCAGCCTTGCAAAAGCATTTCAGGACACACTGGGGCGATATGAACTATATGATATATGAAGAACTATGAGACCAGTAAATAAGGAATATACTTTTTTATCAAAAATACATCAATCTTTCTCAAGAATTGATATGATATTAACAAAAGCTATATCAATCTCAGATTGTAAAAAAATTGAAATAAAAAATGTGGTATGGTCAGATCATGACTCAGTGTGTCTTGAAATTAAAGGTAAATACAGTAGAGGAGAACAAACATAGCATATGAATGGAAATTTTTTGAAATCTAGGGATGATGTTAAGGAAATCATATTAACCACTAAGCAATTCTTTGCAGAAAACGTAACAGGAGATGTAAGTCTCACTAACGTATAAATATGTATAAATGCGTATTAAGAGAATAATTGATTAAGAAAGAAGATTTTTTTAAGAAAAAATTATCAGATCTCTATATAACTAAGCAATCTAAAAAAAAGAGTAATAATATCACAGAGGCACAAGATATAATAGATATGAATATAGTTAAGAAACAAATTGAAGAACAGCTAATTATAAAAGCAAATAATAATATAATGGAAATGAAACAAAAAATCTATTATTTAGATAAAATGATGACCAATCTACTTAAAAAAACGTAAACTGAAGAACAGAATATTTAAAATAATTGAGGAGGATAGACAGTATAATAGCCCAGAGGAAATTGGGAAAGTGTACAAACAATTTTACCAAAATTATACAATATTGAGAATCAAATAAAAGATAGAGAACAAATAAAAAAATATTTAGAAGAATCTAAATTAAAAATATTGTCTAGAGAACAGGCTAATTGTTTAGAAGCCCTTATTGATAACTTTGAAGTCATCAAGGCAATTAGAACATTGAAACCACATAAGGCACCAGGCCCTGATGGTTTCTTAGCAGAGTTTTATAAAAAAAACTTGCAGATATTTTGTCCCCATATATGACGGATGCTTTTAATGAAGTCAGAGATTTTGGATCTTTTACGAATAAAATAATGCAAGCTTTTATCTTACCTATACCAAAGTAGGAAAAGGACCCTACAAAACTTTCTAACTATAGGCCTATATCATTGATTAATATAGATATGAAAGTATATTTGACCATATTGGCGGAACATTTAAAAAAGATCTGTACAATATTAATACAAAAGGATCAGGCCGGATTTGTTAAACAGAGACAATCAAATTATAATACCAGGAAAATTATTAGTCTAATAGAATATGTATGTTCTAATAAGATACCATCTATATTTATTTCCTTAGACGCCGAAAAGGCCTTTGACAGAGTCAGTTGGACCTTTTTAGAAGAGGTACTTTGAAATTTTGTATTTCGAAAGGTATTTACTGGCTCTGTCAAGGCCTTATACACCAATCCAACTGCGAGGGTTATCAGACAAAGGATTAAAATCAGAATGGTTTAACATATAATATGGCACCCATCAGGGTTGTCCCCTTGCTCTGATGCTTTATATTTTAACATTAGAGACTTTCACCACACTTCATTCGCACTTTGTCTCCCTCTCTTGC